TCATACCATAAAAGAATTCTCCTCATCAAAGTAACTTCTCAGTTCTCACTATATTTTAATGGAAATCATATATAGTCAAAAATAATATTCTGTAAAGCTGTATTTTTTGGCAATATAATTAAGTATCAATTAATGCTGTTAACAAAATTTTTTTTTATTATGTTTCACTTAATGGTTATATGGTTATCCGCAGTATACCCTTTGGCCGTATCAAAACTATTAATGATGCATCAGAAAAGAAACCCAAAACAAGCATTACAGAAAATTTTGAACTAAGAAAATACAGAGTGATTTACATAGAGACACACTTTATCATGTTTGATTTTCACGAAAGATACTTTTTGTACAATTGAGTATAGGCTACATCATTTAAACTTACAATACAAAATTTAACATCCGCACTAAAACTGATTACATTTATATAAAAACAAATAAAATCCAACAGATATACTTAGCATGTAACTTTAAATATAATTAAAATCAATTAAAAATCTATAATTCGAAATATTATAAATTTGGGTCGTTACAATTCGACTACCCTTAAAAAGAATTCATCTTGAATACGAAAATTAACATAGTTTAGATATACTAGAAAAGTCAGTCATGTAACCAAGAAATGTGACCAAATAAGTTAGATGCATAGCGATCATAGTAATTCTTATATCATCTCTATCTCTCTTGAACTCGGACTTCTAGTTATTTTTCGATCTTTCTGAAAAATAAAATATAACGGTGTGTAACACAGACAACACAACCCAAATGGGATAACCATCATCGACATGATCCCCTTCGACAATGCCTCAGCCGCAAGACCAGAATCTTTAGTAAGATCAGTTCCATTTGAGTCAAACCCAAACATTTTCTCCGACATGATCCCAACCAAAGGAGCACCAAATGACGACAAAGACCCTTCGAGTGCTCGATCAAAGGCATAAATCATGGTTAGATGTTTAGGAGGAACAATCTCAGCTATATTGGAGAATTAATGGCTGGTCCACACCAAGTTATGGTGAGACCCATGAGAAAGAGAGTGACCATGAAGATGTAGTAACTGTTGATGGACTGTGGGATTAATTTTAGAAGAATAATAGAGAAGATAGCTCCCATGAAGACGCTAAATTGTGCGCACATTACTCAGCCTGAATTTGGAAATATACGCGACATTTGTCTGCAACTATTCCTCCAACTAAATACCCTACTGCATAG